GAGATCCTTGACGGGAGAGGTGTGTGTGAGTTATGGGCTAATCGATTTACATCCACCGCATAGGATTAAATGGCCAGAGAGGATAAAGTGGAGAGGGAGGATAGAAGGAGGGTTCGGTGGACATTGCTGTAGAGGAGCAGCATTTAGATACCAACATCAAGAGCAGGAAACACCATCCATCAGTATAGAAACCCACAATGAGAAATAGAGCTTTAGTGTAAATTTGTTGCACATAATAATTTTTTTTAACCTTAAAGTCATTATCCTTTATGTAATATAATACTGAAGAGGCACAATATTTTCGTACCATATTGGTTATTGATATTGACATTTCTAAATTTAAGGTATTGATTATAGGATAATTTAATTGTGTAATTTAATTTCAAAAATGTATATTGTTTACTATTTAAATATGTTAATTATTTTAGCTTGAATATATATTTATTTTTTAATGTTTTTGGAAGAAGTTTTTTTTTTTTCATCTTTCATTTTTTTCATCTCATTGGCTGCATTTATATGATCAATTATTGTGAAATATTATTAGAATTTAAAATAACTGTTCTATCTTAATGCATTTTTAAAATGTAGTTTATTTCTGTGATGGCAAAGATTGAATTTTCAGTCTTCAGTGCCACATGATCATTCAGAAATTATTCTAATATAATGCTTTGGTGCTTAAAGGGGTCATATGATGCGATTTCAAGTTTTCCTTTCTCTTTGGAGTGTTACAAGCTGATTGCATAGATAAGATCCCTGAAGTTGCAAAGACTGAAGTCTCAAAACCAAAGAGATATTCTTTATCAAAGTTAAGACTCTGCCACGCCCCCCTAAAACGGCTCGTTCTAACACGCCCCCACATATCTACCTCACTATGTGGAAATATTAGCATAATGCGCCCAAATGTGCACGCAAAGAAAGAAGGCGTGGTTTCAGTAACCGCAGTTAGTGTTGAAGCAGCCATGTCAGGGAGACGCTGTGTGTTTAAGTGCGAAAGCAAAAGCACTTTATTTGGATCACTTACAACAGAACAGCAATGCATTTTATGGAAGACCGTTTCGTGAACCTAGGAGAGGAGGTAATTCTGACTTTGCTATGACAATATGGCGCTTCTGAATCAGCTACTGTTTTGTTATTAGTTTAAGTATTTGCTATTGACTGTTCAAATGCGGAGTGTTGCGCATCGTGTGTGTGTGTGTGTGAGAGAGAGAGAGAGAGAGAGAGAGAGACAGCGTCACATCACAGAGTCAGCTGTCTTAACCGTGGCTTGTGTACTGCAAACACATACCAGCTTCATCACTGTGTCTGTCACGCGACTCTGTTCCCCTTTCGGGCTCTGTCTTTACATTTATTTTGAAAGATGAAGCTCGCGATTATGGTAAGGGGCGTTACATTTCCGACGAGTGCTTGCGGTGTTCGGCCAATCACAATGCACTGGGTCAGCTGGCCAATCAGAGCAGACTGCGCTTGTCGGAAGGAGGGACTTTGTAGAAAACGAAGCGTTTGAGAGAGGCGGGGCATAGAGGACCTACAATAATGTACAGTATTTGAAAAATAATGTGTTTTTTGAACATTAAAGCATGTCAACATATTCTGTTACACCAAATACACAAAATAATGATCTTTAAAAAAGCATCATATGACCCCTTTAAGAAACATTTTTCTTATTATTAAAATTGAAAACACTTGTGTTGCTTTAAAAAAATAGATTTTTTTCCAGATTCTTTGATGAATGGAAAGCATTTATTTGAAATAGAAATATTTTGCAACATTACAGTTGTCTGTACTGTCACATTTGATCAATTTAATGCATTCGTGTGAAATAAAATAATTTCTTAAAAAACAAAACAAAATTACTGACCCTGAACTTTTAAGGTAATGTTTATGTAGTAAATATTTGCATTTAGTGAGAATCTGGAAATGTATGTTTTTTTATGATCAGATGATTTTGTTACACAGCAGATGAAATGAGAAGTGACTGATATTAATAATAAGCATTGATCTTTTTTGAATTACTTCCACTTGTCATTACCCTAATGATCTCTAGCAAACATAATTGACATATCTGAAGTGAGTCTTCTGTAATATTTCAGATCCATTTCACTTTTTCACCATCTGGAAGTTGGACCCAGTTTGGGCGCGTTCACTGCCCCTCGGAGTCCAGCAATCATCAGTAATTAGGCTCAGATTGTACGTCCATGGCCAAGGTCAGACAGGGATAATGTTTCATGGATTGTACCAATTATAGCATTCGTTCCAAGGCTGGCACTTGAGCTCAACCTTGAGTCAAGCGGCGCAGTGGTTTTAACACGGGACATGTGTTCTCCGGTACACAGCTGCAGTCTCCATTCACACACATCTGTCACTGCTGACTTCAAATGACTAAAGTCAAATGTTTCCTTTTCAACGGCTTGAGCTTGAGTAATTGCAGCCTCAGGAATGTGAGAGAATCTGGCCTGATACTGGTGCGTGTTTAAATACCATGTTTACAGACCCATTTACAGACCCAATTATTTATTTATTTGTCATTAGTTGAGAGAATCCATATAATTATGCCAAGAGAGAGAGAGAGAGATATTGTGCACTAACCACCAAACAATGGCTCCGGCAGATAAATGCATTGATAAATAAAAGATTTGTATAGTAAAGTTTCTACAGAACTTTTTGGCACCACTAATGGCATACAGATAAAACAATGTTTTTCTCATTTTATGCAGATGAGAGTTCAGCTCAGCCTAACTGGATTGAGCTTTATCTTTGCAATTCAAATCCAATTCCCTTTTATTTAAACATACTACTTATTCTCAACAGAACAGTGAATAATGTATTGAAAAAAACCTATATTTGATTACCAGTGGATGACTAAGATGCATTTGAGAGTAAGTGTAGTGGAACTTCAATATGGACGCCCTCCAGATATTGACCCTGCTTCTCTTAAGAGTACACACAGATTTTAGTAGGCTATACTTACACAAGACTTAGTAGATGCGCTCTTCTCCTCTGGCAGTTTTGCAATACTTTTGATGGCTGCCACCAGTTCTTTTCCCACTCTAAATTATTGATGGATCATGGAATAAGTGCTCCCGCAATGTTCCCTTTTAAGTACAAAGATGCAGAAGACAGGCCAATGTGTAATCCATTTCTGTTTGAGCGGCCCGATCAAACTATCGATTGTAGAATGCCACTTTAAAAGATTCGGAGACAGATGTGCAGCTGGGAGATGTGACAAAATTCTGCAGCGTCTCGCTGTGGTTATTCTATTACCTCCAGCAACTTTCCCTGCTGTCAGGTCTGAGAATATTTTTTCCCTCCATAAACTAAAAAGAATGAGGTAAAGATTGATGTAGCCTGTAAAAAGGAATTGATGATGCAATATCTCGTTTACGGTTGAAAGAGGCTATTAATGGCCCACTAATCCTCTATGACAGCCAAATATCATTTGTCGGGTTTATATGGCTCTGTGATGCTGGAAAATATTTCATATTCGATGAAACACAAGTTTCAGCTTTAAATTCCTCTGTAAGGAAATGCTCAAGGAAAACTTGTGATTATATATAGATGCAGGTTTCTTTATGGAAAGCAGCAGCACTGATCATTATGAAGCAAAATTTGGCTCATAGAGCGCCTATCTGAATGAAATGTTCTCCTCATTCACACTGTATCTGAAATGAGCATCAGCACAGACAGGAATAGCTAACAGTGATTTGTGAATAATATATAGTTCTTTTACTTAGAAATATAATTTTAATTATAGCATTCTGTTGAAATTATTTTTTTAACAGAAATAATCCACAAATTAAAGGACAAGCATGATCATTGTGACTAAACAAACATCCATGTAAAATTCAGCATGGCAGTATACTTTTTTGTGCAAAACTGCAAAAGGCCATACTAAAGATTGTTACTGTACCTATCACAGTTGTTTTTTCAAAGATGGAGAAAGTTGTGTGTAAGTTTATATAATGTTAAACTCCTCTTTTTTTATTCTAGGAAGAAAAATGCAGATTCTGACGGTTTACTTTAAAATTCATTAAGAGATTTAATACATTTATGTTATTTTAATAAGAAATACAATATTGTGTAATATTACATTTTTAAATAATTGTTTATTTAATACTCAGCATCATTTTTTCATTACTTTGAAAGGTAATAATATTTTGTGGACCGATAATTGTTCCAATAAAATGAAATTATACCCTGTTTGAAAGGCTACAAAGTCTCTGTTGATTAGGTTTAGATGAGGTAATTGCATACTTCTGTCCAAAGATGGCACTGTCTAGCAAAATTACTACTGGACTAGCACTTCCCTCACACTTGCAGTTGGTTGTAAAATAAGGGACAATAAAAACAGATTTACTTGTAAATGGATTTTACATTTTGTGAGGGAGTCTCGTATTCACTGCACAAAAAAAAGGTATTTATTTGCATAGAAAGGTCATAGCTAATCACACGAACTTCAAAAAACATCTTATCCTAAGATTTTTAATCCATGTTGTTTTTGAACATGCTTTAATGCTTTATTAGGAAAATCTATCTGTATGTCATCTGTATGGCTCAAGTAATTGAGCCACAGAATTCTTCTTTGACATTTGCACTATTTTTGCAGTAGCTACAAAAAGTGATTGCACACAAATGCAAATGTTTATCATGAACAACTTTTTTGATTAAATAATTAATCTCATTAGTGCAGTTGCAGCTAGATATATTAAAGATTAGATTAAAAATATTTTAGTGCTAGATATTGTCTACACAGACTCCTGAGACATGCATTGCGCTATTCAGGGAGCACAGTTGCAATGTTATTTAATTATTCAAAACCTAAATATTCAAATGTAGCCTGCAAAAGTCGTGCATTTGTAAAATGACCATCGTTGAGTGCATGAAACAGTTAAAACATGCGACATGCAAATAGAGCCGGCTGTAAGTGAGTGCTAGCACAGGGGGCTGGGTTTAAACGCGCTGCTACTGTAACGCTGCTGGGCTTCGATGCCTGTGCTAGTCTCGCGTAAAACCTTCACAGAAGAGCAATGAGCGCGTGCATGACGGTCTAACGGAGAGCTGCTGATGAAAAGGCGTGATGTCAAGCCGCTGTCAGTATCAGAGGACTGGGGGAATGTGCCGTGCACTTGGCATATGCGCTTGTGAATGACCATCCTCCGGCATCGACAGACGAAGCGTTGAATTTTGCTGCATAGATCAGTTACCTGAAGCCGCGCGGAGACCGTTCATTCATCGTCTTCTTGCATGCAAGAAATCTTCGAGGAATTGTGAGAATTGTTTTTTTTTTTGAAGGTGCTACCTTTGAGGCTTCGGCGTTCGTTCGGATGTGGATCTATCTGTCAAAACTTAGCTGAACGCCGAGACATCTTTAAACTGAACATTAAATACCATCCTCAGCTTTCTTCTGGATTGTAGGTGAGTGGACAAACGTGCTTCATGAATTCATTTCAGCCCTGAGATGCTTTACGTGCGAGATGTGGCCACGAATACTAATGTGTTCCGTGCGGTGTGCTAGAGCAAAGCATTGAGAAATCAGACCATTCATGTTATCGGGATGAAATTGCTAATGAATCGCAAAGAAGTTGTGCTTTACGAGCAGTTTGATTAGGATAATGGGATTTAAATAGGTGGTTTTGTTTAATGTAGAAATATTTGCTGCTGCTGATGCTGACCAGTCCAAACATAGTATTCACTTTAGAAACAGGATAACCTGATCCTCAATGTCGCGTTTCAACTTTTTAATTTAATAGGCAAGCCGTAAGCGGTAGCCTAATGATTGTGCATCTATATTAGTTTGACAGAATTTTGATTTTGCGTTCCTTGTATTTTCCCCACACAAAATAAGAGATCAGAATAGGAAATGAAATTAAAATGTTTGTAAATTACTCTCGTGTAAGCAAGAAAACATGCAAATAAGAATGCTGGTCATGAATCTTCCTCCTGTATACGCGCGTTCATAATCCATTAACCTTATTTCCTCGATGTAATTTACGCTAATTTAAAGTTAATGCCTCATGCTCTTCACTTCGCGATCTTATCTGCTTGAATTCTCGTCTACTGAATCTTCACTGTCCGTTTAAATAGACTCTGACTTCAGTGGACGACTAACCCCGTCATATATTCAGTTTTGTGGGACTGTCATAGAAATTGATACACGTTCAGAATGTGAAACTGGCTGTTGCCGAGTGGTCATAATTCAGCTCTTTTACCTCAAACTCGGCTCCGTTCATCTGGACTAGGACAGCAGATGCACTCACAAATCTTCATTTCCCCTCACACACGGCTCTGACATCGTCTCTAAAGAAAATAAATGTATCTTTAAGTAGAAAAGCGGCCAGCATTTACATGAGAATCACTGACATCTGTTATGAAGGACAGGGATATTAATCGGTCTAACACAATCAAACGGCGCTTTCAGTGAGGAAGATGAGGTGAATTCATCTCGAGCGTGACCTCTTCACATCATCGTTTTTATCTCCCGTCTTGAAGCGAAACGGTTTGACCTGAGACGGTGTGTCTGCAGGGTGAAAACGGTTCATTCACGAACTGAAAGAGCGCGTTGCTAGTGGAGAACAACGAAATTTAACGAAGTTTAGAGGGACGTCTTAAAAGTTTGTATTTGTCTATGTTTCGACTGCGTTTGCAAGTAACCTTTTACTAACCCCAAAAGTTAGGTTACAAGTTCGTCAGTGCGTTAAATAGACGCTCACAGAAATTGCGTTCGCCAGAGGATGTAACCATAGCAACAGTAGGCTGCTCGAGCGCGTTCCTTTAAGATCAGTATCGGACGGTACGTCGACTAAACATAAGAACGGTCATTATCAACACTTTATAGATGTACATATCACGAATACAATTACAAAAGTGTTTTGTTTAAAAGATCGTTCTTAGAGCTGACGGTTGGATAACTATACCAAAATATTAGGCAGAAAATCAGCTTTAAAAAGCTGAATTTCAAAAAAAAAAAATTCTTGGCGTATAACCTTTTACATTTCATCAAATAACACTTTTGTCTGTTTGCCCTGAAAAGTTGTCATGAGACACCTGCAAAGACAAAGATGATGAATATTAGTTTTCTATAGTTCTGCATTTCTATGGTATTAGTAAAAACGTTTCTGTGTTTTCTATTTGATGTAAGTAAATCACTCTTCACTCAGCTTTTGTTTTATGACCCTTTAGGTGGGACTTCATATTTGGCTGCCTGATTGGCCAATTCAGTTGTAACCCCATAAAGTCATTATATCTCACTTTATATTTCACATTTAAGTGGCTTTCCTCAAGCCTTGGGCTCCCGTGATGTCATGCACAAGTTATGTTACTTTTGCCATTTTAGTCATTTTTTCAAAAAGACTGTACATTTTTTACTTTTTCAGTGCTGCTCCTTCATGTTAATCAGCATGCATTGTGTATTTGGTCAGGCATGCAATGTTTTGATACATTTTTCCTGTGATTATGATTCTAGTGTCATTTATGCTGACTCTATGCCGATTTAAAATGTTTTTATTGGCATATTTAACCTTTCTATAATGCCATTAAGGGCCCCCCACATAGCGTCCCGTACGCCAATGGTTTAAACATTACTCATCTGAAAGCATTAAATGTCACTTATGTAGGTTTGTCTCTCCTATGTATGGCAGAGTATGATTACATTTTGTACGTTACATTCTGCTCACTATGTGGCTTTGTAGTTTGTTCTCTTTGATGAGGCGCTGAGAGACAGAAAAAGCCGTAGAGCATCTCTAGATCACAGGCTCTTTAATCAATAAGGTTAACTACACAAAGCCGAGAGGACAAGTCTCCACTGCGTGCACACCCATCAACTTTACCTGCTACCTCATTTCCCTTACCTCGCCAGCTCCATGCGGTTTGATCGGAGTCGTAAAGTGAATAAAGGGCCGTCTTTTCCCTTCCTCACAGCGTGAGCTTCCTAAGTTGGATTTGCATGTTCATCCTGATTGTCAAAAAGCCTCTAGCATTCTTACGTAGGGTCGCATGCTATTGATTTGATTATGTCAGTCAGGTGCATTAAGCCTTTCCTGAAAGGTAATTGGAGGGTATTATGTGCTTAAAGGGGGTTTCTTCCTCTCTCTATAGCCGTTGGCTCTCAGATAGATGTATACGTTTGAGGGAAGGTCAAATCTGAATGGGGTGGCCACAAGAGACCCATGCTGAGTGCTTATCCTCCTTGTCCCAGTTAAATGCTATGCTCGAGTGTGTTAGTTTAGGGGCCAATTTGGATACATGCTTGTATCTTTTTGGCTCGGATTTTGTGGTCAGCGAGATTACCTTATCAGTCCGTTCAGAGGAGACTCTGCAGCTGTGAAAACGGCAATGTAAAGATCCTAAAGTATGTGCTATCTCATCACTCATCTCTCCCATTGTCCACCAGTCATCTAGTGTTTGCAGAAGAGCTCCTCCTCTGTCTCTGGCTTTGACTGAACACTGGGATGAATGCTTGGTGGATAGTCGCAAACAACCCGCCCCAGCAACCTTCGAGTAGGACCATGTAGCTCAGTAGCGCCACCTATTGATAAATATATTGCAGCAACAAACCACAATGTCTGAACCTACCCAGGGTTCTAGAGTGGTTTAACCAGAGACAGAGGGGCATTTGAGGTTGGTGTGTCATACATAAGCCTGTGCTCGTTTTAGTTGCATGCTGTGTCACCAGCGTGCACTACACCTCTAGAGAACCCCCTCTTTTCTTCTCTCATGGTGGCATAGGGGCTTGCCCCGTTTAGCTTAAGAGATTTTGACAAGTCGCGATGCATGCAAGCGGAATCCTTGACCTATTTCTTAATGAGTGAATGGTACAAATGCGTTCAGAGGGCTATGTTTGCAATGTAAGCCATTCCACCGTCCCCCTACCGCTCATGCACACAGACAGACTCTCGCACACTTATGCCCTGCAGGATGGGCTCTTGTCGAGAGAGTTCATCTGCTTCCTCTATGCTAGTCTCATGTATTAGTGTGTGCATCCAATGTTTATTTGCTTTCACGCATTGATCTTGCATTCTCTTTTGCAGCGTTGCCGCTCGGCTGTTTATCTAGGGCTCTCTACTGTCCAACTGTCACAACAAAGATCGCTATCACTCTTGACCACTCTTGCTTGCTTAAAGCGTGTTTTAGGTGTACGTGTAAATGTGTCCAAGAGAACAAAGTGGAGCCAGATGTAGTGCCGATTACAATTATCCTGTGACATTGACATTTGGAAGCAGGATGCAGATTCAGTATACGTAGAAAATGGTGTGCACTGGTCTACCCAATAGACCAGCCTGGCTTCTCTGTCTATCTCCGTACATCTTTTATCAGGATGTAAACAACCTGGTGAGATAATTTGTCTTCAGCATTGGTGGATTATGCATGGGGTTGATACTGTGACCTGACGTTCGGCTACACTGTAATTAGGCCTGTGTTTTCTGCTGCAGCTAATTACCCTTGAACAGTTGGTGGACAGACTCTCACTTGGAAGGTGCCAGTGTCCAGATTGGTCACAGAGAATCGTGGGTGTTGACGCATTTACAGCTCCAGAGTGTGGGCAAGAGAATCCGACGAGTCAATCACGCACAGGTGCCGGAGATTCTGCGAACGCTGCCAGTTTTATGCAACATTTTTTTAAGAATGGGAACACATGTTCTCCGAAAGATCTGTTGTCTATGGCACTCTCCCTAAGCAAAAAGGGGTGTTTTCACTCCAAAATGATTAATCTTTGAGTCATTCCAAACCTGTATTACTTTGTTTCTGTGGGGACTAAAACAATGGGGACTCTTAACTTTCATTTAATGGCCAATACAAGCACTGGGATATTATTCAGAAATAACAGCTTTTGTTTTACTCAGAATTGGAACAATACGAGGGTGAATAAATGATGATAGAATTTTCATTTTTTGGGTGAACTATTCTTAAGATCGTGGGTGTTGCCGCATTTACAGCTCCAGAGTGTGGGCAAGAGAATCCGACGAGTCAATCACGCACAGGTGCCGGAGATTCTGCGAACGCTGCCAGTTTTATGCAACATTTTTTTAAGAATGGGAACACATTCTCCGAAAGATCTGTTGTCTATGGCACTCTCCCTAAGCAAAAAGGGGTGTTTTCACTCCAAAATGATTCATCTTTGAGTCATTCCAAACCTGTATTACTTTGTTTCTGTGGGGACTAAAACAATGGGGACTCTTAACTTTCATTTAATGGCCAATACAAGCACTGGGATATTATTCAGAAATAACAGCTTTTGTTTTACTCAGAATTGGAACAATACGAGGGTGAATAAATGATGATAGAATTTTCATTTTTTGGGTGAACTATTCTTAAGGCACTTGTTGTACTCTGTTTTTTTTTGCACTTTGATCATCTGAAATACTGGTATTGCTACTAGTAGCTTGTTGAGACCATTTTTGCTTTCGACTATCTGAAGT